TCTGTGGCTGGAGGCTTTTCAGTCTGTCAGGTGGGTGATCAAACCAAATGCCCACATCAGAGCATTTCTCTGGCCTGATCAGAGAGCCAAGCTCTGGAGAAACCCATTTGCAAAACAGGTGGGTGGGCAGATGCAAGCCTGGAAAATATCCTGCCAGCCCCAGCACATAAAGAGGATGCTGGCCTGCAGCAGTAACAGGTCATTGCACACTGTGCTTAGAGGGCATGACCTGCCTGAAGCACTGCTTTTTGGGGTTGTTACGCTACACCCTAAATCCTGGCCTACGGCTAGGCTCTGCAAAGCCTTCATTGTTTTTGGAAGCAGTGCAAACTGAAATCCATTTTTAAAGGCCTCCAGCATGTGCTCCCAAGTGTCACAGCTGCAGCTTAAATGTGGTCCCCATTGCTTTATTAACTGCACACAAAATGCCATCCCTGTGTCCGTTGCAGGGGGGGCTGTTGCAGTTGTACAAAACAGCTGAGATTCTCTAATTATCCCCTAGTTTCTTTTAATCTTGAAGCATTAAAGTACTGCTGACTTGCTGCCAAGGGCACATGACCAGCTCTGTTCCTTTCTTGATCCTTTTTCTTGAATAAAGCTTGGTGAAGTTAGGCTCTGTGTGTGTGTGTGGGGGGGCAACGCTGGGAAGCACCGCCTGCTGCTGAAACCTGAGTCTCCTCCACGGCAGCTCCCTATTCCTGAACAGACCCTGTTTGGGTGTGGTTGTGGGTGGGCAGGTGGGTGTCAGGGGGTGGGCAGTCACTGAAAGCTCCCCTTGCCTTGGGCTCCAGGAAAGCCCCAGGCAGGGCCACCCCGGGGAGCCCCCATAGGGGCAGTGGGGGAGGGAGCAGGGAACAGGACCTTCCCTGCCCCATAGTGGCAGCTCGGGGAAGTCCCATGTCCCCCAGTTCTTGTGTGCCCCTCTCCCCGTGTGCCCCCACTACCCCTCTGCCTCAGCCGGATCTTGCAGGCTTCCACACCTGGGTGGGGGTGACATGGCAAAGCATGCCAACCACTGAAAAACATCAGCAATGTTACCTGCCACAGCTTGAGCTCCCCACACTGCAGCTGGTGCTGCTGTGGCGCAGGTGAGGGCACAGGCTCAGGCTGGGGGACAAGCAGTAGCATATCTCAAGGGGGGGAACTGAGCCCTGAGTGCCAGTTTGGTGGGGGCACCCTCTGGGCAGCATACAACCAGTATACATGGCATCTGTGCCCCTCCCCCCCAGCCACCCCTGCTGCAGCCCATGGCCCCACCTATGCCACAGTGGCAGTAGCTACAGCATGAGGAGCCCAAGGTGTGGCAGGTAATGCTGCCACTGCCACTCTCTGGGGATCAGCTTAATATTTTCCCCACACCCCACTGTCCAGGGTTTGCCATGCCTGTCTTTATACCCCTGCCCCAAAAACTGCTTATCAGAGGGGAAGAGTTGCTCTATTAATTCAGTGCATTTTCTGTGCCCTGGCTCAGGTCTTTTTACTCAGGCAATGGTCCCATTGCCAGGAGATGGGTAAGCCAATGCTCAAGACGGCCCCTTAGAGTAACCATATTTGCCTCCTGGCTTGTATAGGTTTTTGTTAACTGCGCTGGGGAGCAGCCAGCCAGTCCTGTCACATAGTTCAACACCAAACCTTGTTGTTTAGCAGCTGGCTGTCACAACAATTACCCAAGGACCAGGCAAGCCTGGCAGCTAGTCCCAGTAGAAAGGGTTACACTAATGAAAGGCTCTCACCACGACTGAAATTCTGTGGCGAGGATGGGAAGCGTGTGTTTATAGAGGACTCTGCTGCTGGGATGCTGGTTCTGATAGACAGAAGGTTGTAGGCTGCAGCACTAAAGAGATGAAGCAATGTATGGTTCTGGCCCTTGGGTAAACCAGGAGAGAAGACCTAGAGCTGTATGGTACCCATGCCAAATGAGTTGGATTAGGATGCTCTTTTAATGCAATCTGAGTCTCGCACTAACTGCTGCACTTGTGAGCTATGAACTTTTGAAAATCTGACTACAGCTATAGGTCCTGAACAACAAATTTCAGCCAGAAGCTGGGCATTGCCCCTCCTGCCACCTGTACCAACCCACTCCCATGGCCCCACTCCTTGCTTTGTGCATTAGGTGCCCCATGGCTTTGTTATAAGTAGCCTGTGAGCCAAACAACTACAATCCATTTTCTTGCCACTGTTGTTCTTTAAAGTATTGGCTACGTTCAGCTTGATTGCTCAGCAAGCATTTCTGGAAACTTGCCCCCTCCCCCCCCCAAAAAAAGGCAGTAGCAAAACATCAAGACAAGCCTGTGTTTCAGGACCGTGTGTTCAGATGAGAACCCTGACCGAGGGAGTGAGGGTGAGGAGAAACCTACATGGTTTTCCATTGTTGCAGTGTTTCGGTTTCCCAATAGCAGGGAAATCCAGCCATCTTGAGACCTAGTGTAATAATGCCAGAAAATTACAAACAACTCCCCTGGGATTTAGCCACACTGGCTTTAAGAGCATCCAGAAAAGTTCATGTGATAGTTGCATTCTGCCAAGATTAGGCACTTGCTTATTTCCAGCCATTGTAACAGACCTACTTCCAGGGCTCTGTAACACATGGGAGACCTGGAGCTGTCCCAGCTCAGCAGGGAGGTTTACTTGAAATACCTGCAGGACCCTTTGCTGTTTCCAGTATGAAGGGTCCAACTCTGCCCCGAGACATTGAAATACTGGTAGTGAGGTAACTTCAAAATGAACTTGGCAGCTAGAGCTTCTAGGCTTCTGGGGGTGCCACCAAGAGCAAGTCTGGGAGTGTTAACACCCCTGAGAGAAGGGTATTGTGAGCTGTAAGTTTGCATAAGAGGTCCATCATCACATCTGCAGAGCACTGGGGGCAGTTTCAGAGCAGGGGTTTCTTCTAGATCCGTTGCACTCTGAGAGCTACATGAGAGGGGAAGGTAGTATTACAGCAGGCAGCTGTGAGAACTACACCCAGAGCAATTTCCTTTTAGGAGCTAGAGGGCAGAAGTTATACCAACCCCCTGTTGTGTAGGCAGTTACTAGTATTGTAACCTCCTGTGCCAGATATCCCATTTTTTTATTCCCAGCCCCCCACCCCTCCAATTCTTGGTCCTGATGCCACTCTGCAACTTGGTTCCACAACTTGTTAAGAGGTGCTTCTGTTTCTCACCTTTTGCTTTCACATAAGGGCAGCTTTTGCTTGTACCATGATATAAACTGGATTGAAATGGCAAGTATTCTCCACTATCTTGAGCTGCTCTTCTAACTGGTACAAAGAATGGCCTTTAGAAACCCTTTCAAGATTTCTGGGATGAAGGAAGAATACCAATTTTTCAAGAACCTGGCCTGGATTCTTCATTAGCTTTTTCTTTTGCCACAGGTATTTAGTCCAGTGGTCGCTGACATTTAAGCACCATAGGACAGAACAATCCAGCTCAAGTCAGAGACAGGCTGGCTTTCTCACCTAGCTGCAGCCGCTTTTCCCTACCCCGTGGCTGTGCTGTGGATGCAGTTCCTCATTGTCTGGCGCCTGCATGGGCAAAGCCCTGCCCACAAACACGCCACAAAAACCCCGGCTCTGTGGGCTAGATCTGGTGGCTCTGCAGGTCATATGTTGCCACCCCTAATCTATTCAGAGGACTGACGTGCCAAAACACGCCCTTTCCTCCCCCCCCACAATAATGTCCTACTACAAACACAGAGTGAGGTTTGTTATGTTTTTTTCTCCTAACCTACAACTGTTTATTCCTTTGGAGGCAACTGAGATTCAGGTAAATTTAAAGTAGATTCTTAGCCACATTGCTCCAGAGGTCACTTAAACTAGGAGCAGGTCGTATTAATCCTTTCTCCTCCAGCATCCCAGTCCAGGAAAGCGGGTAAAAAGAAAACACATCAATCCCCACAGTACTGGAGAGAAACAATGAAGAGAGTTATTCTCTCAGTTTTTTTGAGCAGCTTATCATTTTCCCAGTACTAATGACACTAATGATACAAAAAAAACCACACTCTGGTAGGAAGCTGAGCTTTGTGAGCATTAATGAGGGTTATTTGTGTCTCTCAAAGAGTTGCTTTTTTAATTAGCATGGATTGTGAAAAAGGTTAGAAGCAGTTCAGTTCTGGCATCAATGCCTCGCATGGTCTTCAGCCAAACTCCTCTGCCCTTCTTACTCTACACTATATTAGGCCCTCAGCTGCTTAATGGCAATATGGTATATAGCACTTGCTTATATTCTCTTGATCAAGCTTTGGGTAAGAAAAGAGGCAAAGGAAACTATTAAGCTACAGGATGGCACTGGGTGTGACCCATTCCAGAAAAGTCATGAAAGATGGATTGAAAAAAAACCTAGGTTAGAGATGGCAAGGGTTGCTTAGTGTACATGTTGTGGTTTGATGCTACACAAGGCTAATTGTAGACAAGCTATAGCTTAGATATGGAATAAAAATAATCATAGTAAACACCTACTACTAGATATACTACTAGAAGACACCTCCTTTCTCCGTCTTGTCCATTAAGACAGTCTCTCAGTCTGTGTTTGTTCAGTGCTCAGTGTCTTAGGGTCCTGCTCTTTGCCAGCTTTCAGTGCACTGCTCCATACTTTGAGCTGCCATGAAGGAAAGCTGGCAAACATGCCAAGCTGGTCTCTTCTCTGGACAAAAACAGGATGGTTGCTGATTACAGATGACCAGCAGCTTTAAACAGGCTGTTTTGGCTCCTATCTGTGAATGTAGGGAAAGGGGTGGCAACATTTAATTTTGCCCTGGTTGGTGAAATAGGCCCTGAAAATACACATCTTCGTGATGCAGGAGGGAAGTGCTTAGAAGAGCTGGGTAAAGTGATGTGATGAGCAGAGCAAAGCAGACGGGAGAGAACTGCACCATCCCTTGCAGTACTTTCACTGAAATGAACATTTAGAAGAGCATACACTACCCACTTTCAATGCTGAAATGAAGCTCAGAGGTTACTCCTATCCCATATCCCCAGTCTTTGACATAGAGCACTGCTTAAATCTGAATTAAACATCAAATTTATTGCATAATACTGAACTATGTACACACACATAGAAAATAAACATTTCATAGATCTGTATATTTGTCTTTAATGCTGTATTATAAAGAGGCTGCGAGGCTACCAACATAGCCCCTTACCTCGTTTAAAAAACCTGAAAGCTTACAACTTCTTTTTTCTCAGGAGGTGCAAAGTTCAATACTACATATTGAACACGGTGCATAAGTAATGCATGATTTATAAATGAGTCCGTTCTGCAACCACCATAGGTTTAAAATTAGGTTTACACCAAATTTTGGAAAATGAGGGATTGCTCACCATTTTAATTCTTTATGGAGGAGGGGGAAGAGGCAGGAGCCATAATCTTTTGGGAAACAGATGTTTAGTTCTTCTTTCTCCCAGGACTATTAATGTACATTTCAAAATCTGATCAATAAAAGATTGTCCTTAAGAGTCCCAAATTTAATGGAGAAAAAAAATGTCAAGTATTGCAGTCAAATAGTTAAATATAAAATAAAACAAACAGCGACAACGACAAAAAACCCCAAAAAACCCTGACTGCAAATACACACAGCCATAAAGGGGGGAGAAGGGAAGGAGGGGGCTACATTGTCACTTGGGTTTGATTTTTTTTTCTTTTGGAGATTGGAACTCTTTGATACCTGTGCAACTCCTCCAAAAGGGTAGGATGGCAGAAGAACAGCTATCTAGCATCTAACAATGGGAAAACTAAAGGGCCAAGTTCAGCCCTCACCTTGGTTTATTATTGCAGACTTGCCAAAAACGAACATGGTATAGGAGAGATGCAATACAGGAAACATTATTATAGTTAAGATTTGTTCTTCCTCAACTCTATACACAAGCCCACTCTAGAGAACTCCTTAAAAGCTTGAGGTGACTCCATTTGGAAGCAAAATTCAAAACCAAAGAAAAATCACCCTACATAACCCACAGTCTTGACAGTCTGGTGCAAACATAATGAATACGTACCATGAGAAGTGTATTGTGCGGGGGGATTTTGGGGACAGAGCTTTACATAAAAGGACCCAGCCAGTACTCAGCTGCCCTGGATAGAGGGAAGCAGTGCAGAAGGGACAGGATATATCAATTCTAAGCAAGCAAGAACCAGCTTGCAATTTAAAGGGGTGGAGAAGGGCTGAGGAATCACAGTTTAAAAAAAAGAAAGGAGAGAGAGAGAGACCACCATTTCACCCAGCAGTTCTACCATTGAAGGAACAACAAAGATCAAAACAGTGATGCTGATTTAAAAGGCTGTTGGGGGAAGGAGGGAGGGAGGTGAAAACTGCAAGAAGCCGTTAGGAAAACAAAAACTGAAAACAAAACAAGGTTGAACTCACTTTGCTGGGTGGGTTAGAAATGCCAAAGCAATTTCCTCTCCCTGCTAAAATCCCCCAAAACATTCACAGATCAGCTGGGTCTCCATGGCCTCTGTATCTAATTATTTTAAATAGTTTGATCCATTACTTCACAAAAATAGAGCCAACTCCACTGGTGTTCCTCTGTGGACAGTTGCCTGCATTTTTCTCGTGCTGGTCAGGCCAAGCTAAACCCCTCATAGTGATCAATGGCTTTTGTGAGCCGTGCGCTCAGGATCTCCTTACTGCTGTACTTAGGTAGATCAAGGAGGTTATAGCAGGTGTGAGCCACCGGCAGGTACTGCTCTCCACTTGACGTGGACTGGATGATCATGCGCAAGCTTGACATGCCATAGATAGGAATGCGGTCACTGCCGGTCAGGAACACTGAGAGCAGAGAAAGCAGACAAGTTAGGATGGTTAGACCCACACCAAAGAAAGCACTAAGTACTGAGGAACAGGTGTGGGATGGGTATGTGGTGGAGGGTGTTCATTATGTCAATCTAGAGTTTGAAAGAGAGACCTCATTGGGACAGACCCTGACAGACAAATCCTACTGGAAAAATCACCCTTCCTACACCAACCACGGTGTTCTAGCATGTTGAGGAAGTGGCAAGCCGCTTGTCAGGCAGCTGGAGGAGTAAGGAAAGCTTATTGTGCTCCTGCTATTTCCACTTCTGCAGCAGCCCACCTACAGCTGTTGTAAATTGAAGTTATCCCAGGGCTTTGAGTTTCTAATTAGGAGCCATCTCAGTCTTGCAGCAGCCTCAACTCTAGGGGGCATAAGGATGACTGAAAACCACACAACCCTCTCCTGGGTTGGGCCTTCCAGAGATGCATAGCTCAGAGTCTGGCCCTGGTGTTTTGTTCCTACTGCCCCAAACACTCTGACTATACCCTGTTCCTCCAACCTTTATCTAGGAGGGAAACTGGGACTGAGGGACTACAACAAACATCTTTATAAAGTCAGGACACCTGGATTCTGTTCTAGACACTTGTCAACATATTAGATGGGCTATTGAAGCCAAACTTCCTTTACTCTAGTCAGGCATTTAAATCAGCAACCACACCCAATAAAGTTGCCAGTTTAGGGGGCTTGGCTTGAAAGTGTTGTCCTTCACCTCTCTGTTTCCCACTCCTCTTGCCCAGCCGCTAAATGTCGCAGCTCACTTTCAGACTGATGAAGGAAATGCTGTCGGAGGGTCCAATTATTACTGTAATAGAGACAAATGTTCCTTCTGCAATTTGGTAACAAATGGGAGAGGAGCAGGAGGTGCAGGGAGAGGAACACCCTCTGCAACCTGCATGCAAGCACTTAATATGCTGCATGTATGCAGTATTTGGCATTTGGCCAAATCCACCTTGCAGAGCAGAGAAGACCCCAAACCCCTCCCTCTAACTGATAGTGTTTAACTTCAGAGCTCTCCCTCTGCAATTTTATGTTAGCTATTGTAAGGGGATTTACCCTAAAGTGGTGTCAAAGTCCAGGAGATCTGTGGGAAGATAACCACGCTTGCTTTTAGATTATGGACCCACTTCTCTGGGGATGCAATTCTGCTAATGCTTAAGGCACCAGCAGCCCTCAGAGCTCAGGATCTGATGGAGCTACGCCTGCAAATACTTTGGCCCTGTGCTGCTGGATTTACTAAAAGAATTCAGCTGAAATAATGAACGACAAATATTTCAGGTTCCCCCTGCAGCCAGGGCTGGCTGTGCAATGGGCTAATGACTTCCTGCTCAGAGCCACTGCAAAAAAAGACAGGATGGGCTTGTGGAAATCACCACCACAAATATGCAACCTGGCCTCTGTCACACACACATGCAAACAAACAAACAAGGGGTGGACATAAACAACTGCCAGACTGACTTTGAACAACAAACACTCCAGACTCAAACCCAGCTCTTAAATACTCAGCAACCTGGATTGTCCACCAAGATGCAGCCACAGACAAAGCAAACCTTGCTCATGTGAATGTTAGGTCTTGCGAAATGCTGGCAGCTGGACTGTCCCCATATACACACAGCAGCACGGCTGGGGACACTGATACGTGCAGCTCTCAGCATACACCAAAGCACTGGATACAGCTGGATTTTTCTGACACATACTTGCCCTGAATTGCTGCAGTACAGCCAGCATTGAAAATAGAGGGGGTGGGGGTGGGGAGGAGAGGGAAGAGGAAGGAAGTGTGCTGGCAAAGAGGTAGTCACCAGTGCTCTGTGGGGGTTGGGGTCAGGGCTCTGCTGAATTCATTCATTGTTTTATGGGCACCAGCACCTTCAGAAACAAGAGAGAAGGGGGCAAGTTTTCCATGTGCAGCAGCTCTGTTCTACTAGACAACCTGCACAAGGGCCAGGTTTCATGGGGAGTGTGAAGAGTTGGGCAGCACCTGCAGGCGCATACAGTACAATGTGTACAGAGCAGAATGTTCACGAGCACTCAGCATGAGCAGGAGCTCCCACCACTTCTGGACCCGCTGAAATCAGTGTCAAATTTACCACCAACTTCAAGAGAAGCAGGCCAATACTTTATTGGGTGCTTTAAACTCCTCACTTTACCAGAGGTACAAGGTCAGAAACCAAATGAGGGCCCCTCACCCCAGGACTGAAGGGAAAGCTGAGATTAGTCAAGAGGTCTCCACCGTGAGGTACCAGGGTAGGATTCAGTGTATAATTTTCACAGCTTTTTATCACTGCTGCTGCAGATCCCTTCTAGTCCTTCCACTGCACAGACTTTTGCTAAGAGCAATATGAAAAGTCCCTCAGCAGGCTTCACTAAGACAAACCATGAGCTATTTCTATGACACCAGTGGCCAACGTGCTGAATACAGCAGATACATAGGGAAAGAAGGGTCCTGTGCCAGACAGCTTGCAATCCAAATTCCACCCCAGTTTCCCAGGGAAGAAGGGCTCCAGAGGAACAGCTGGGCTTTCCAAAGTTTGCAGGCTTGGCATTTCCTGCATCATCTTCCCTGTTGTCTGGATGCACAGCCAAGAACACAGCATGGGACATTCCACAGATCCCCTCTGCCAACACCAAGGCCTTGGCTCCAGGGTCTGGGGAGCACCTCACTGCCAGCAACAGCTCGGTCCACTTGGGCAGCTTGCAGAAGGAGAAAAGGAGAGCAAGGGAGCTGGCCTAGATATCTGCTATGACCAGCAGGGGTAAATGAAACAGAAAGCAAAGTCCTGGATGTTTTGATTAGAGGTGGAGAGCTGAGCTGAGGTTTGGGAAAATGGAGCCTGGCCCCATACTATTCTTGTACTATTTTAGCTACATGAGTTTAGAATAATTAAACCAGCATTAATCCAGGTACCAGTACATCGATACTAGTTTAACTGCCTCCACATCAGGGTTTCCACCAATTATTTCTAAGCAGACAGAGAGACAGACACTGGGGTGGGTATGGGATATGGGGGGGCCCCATGCAGCCCCTTGCAAGCTGGGACTCTGCCAGCCTGCAAGAGAAAACCACAGCTTCCCAGGTTTTTCCTGCTTTAAAGGAGAATCCAGTTTTAAAGTTTGTTGATCTGTTTTTAAAGTTTGTTTGTAACCCTTTCATATATTATTGTGACCCACTTTTGGGTCACGACCCACGGGTTGAGAAACACTGCACTAAAGTATCCTTGAAAGCCCCATGCTCCAGTATTTAGAACAGTACTAGTTACTACGGCTGTGCGAAACAGCATCGTTCTGCTTCGACGGGACAGCGTTTCGTTTCAAGTTTCATTTAATTTTGAAAGCACTGTTCTGTTTTGTTTCATCAAAACTGTTTCTCTGTTTCAACACTGTTTTGACATTTCACCCATAGGGTATAATGGGGAATCATCAAAATGCCTAAAACTGTGTCATTCCTTGCCTGATTTGAATGAACCTTGCAGGGATGGTAGCCCCTTCTGAGGGCATGAAGCCTGCCAAGTTTCAAGAAGACAGGTGCAGAACTTCCTGGGAAACTGTGCCTCAAGGTGTTGACAAGCAAAACTCCTGTTTACTTGCCAGCAGCGGCAGCCTCCTGTCATCCAGCCCGCAGACTGGGGGCCCACCCACACCCCTAGGAAGGCTACAGGGCTGTGCTAGACTCCTCCCAGGGGTACAAGCCCCCAGTCTGCGTGCCAGATCACAGGAGGCTGCTGCTGCCGCCTGCACCCAGCACCAGGAAGATTGGTGCTGCCACTGGCCTCAGGCAGCAGAACCATCCTCCTGTGATCCGGCAGGCAGATTGGAGGCCTGCACTCCCAGAAGGAGTCTGGCACAGACCCCGCAGCCCTCCCGGGGATGTGGGCAGGCCCCCAATCTGCCTGTCAGATGACAGGAGGCTACTGCTACCAGCTGGGACCGGCGCTGGGTGCAGCCCATGCCAGGCAACGGGAAGATGGATGCTGCCACTGGCTCCAGCCGGCAGCAAAAGCATGCTGTCATCTGGCACGCAGATCCAGAGGCCTGCACCCCTGGGACAGCTGGGGGCTGTGCAAGAATCCTCCCGGGGGGCATGGCCTCCAGATCTGTACTGGGTGACAGGAGGCTGCTGCTGCCAGCTGGGACCAGTGCTGAAGCCAAGTAAGCCCGGCTTCGAAACTCAAAACATTTAAAAACTTTCAAAATGTTTCAAGTGCCCTTGTTTTGCTTTGAATGTTTTTATTTAGTTTCAATTTCGTTATTTCAAGCTCAAAATACATTGAAACAGCTTCAAAACAAAACAGCTGGCAAAATATTGCACCACCCTACTAGTTACACTAACAGACCATTTATTTTATGTGGTTTTTCAGTGTAACAGGAAAGAGAAAGTTACCAAAGATGTGGGGAGAAGTGGGCACGCTAGAAGGGAGGAATAAGCGGCAATCAGACCTAGACAGGTTACAGGGGTGGGCAGATGAGAACAGGATGGGTTTCAACACTGGCAAGTGCAAGGTGCTGCACCTGGGGAGGAAGAACCAGCAGCATACCTACAAGCTGGGAAACTCCCTTCTCGTCAGGGCAGAGGCAGAAAAGGATCTTAGAGTCATTACTGATGCCAGAATGAACATGGGCCGACAGTGTAGAGACGCAGTAAAGGCCAACTGTACCTTGTCATGCATCCGCAGATGCATCTCGAGCAGG